GAAGGATTTGCACAAAGATGCCTCCAACAATAGCTCCTCGTTCCAGCGGCCCAGCGGAGCCTCCCCGGGACCGGCGCCTTCCTCCGAGGCGGCCCCGGAGCTGCGGGGGAGCCCCGGCCGGGGCTGGTCGGGCCTTGACGCCCCCGGGTGTCCCCGCCGCAAGGCCGCCCACCCAGCTCGGTCCCTTGGTGTCTCGTGTAGGTGAGGATATGACACCTGCCAGGAAAATGAATACACAAACACCAGAGGTTTATGTCCAAAAAGGAGACAGAGGAGTTCTTTTCACTTTATTCGAATAAAGGGAGAAGCCATGGGGCATTCTCCTGTGGTCTCTCAAATTTTTGGAGGACGCAGCCTCCTTTTTATTCTAATTTCCTGGCCGCTTGTCCCTTCTCTCTTTCCCCATAGGCTGAGGTACTTCAGAAGCACAGACTTCCCGGAATACCTAAGATTTCCCCTCTAATGTATAACCCTCCCTCTTAACTCTTAATTCTTATGGGATTTATGGCTTTCCCCATTGTTTCTTTCATCTTTCAATGTCCAATTTCATTTATCAGCAAACATACAGTTTGTTTGTAAAGGCAAATATATTTTTTCCATTTATCAATCAGTGGAATCCTTCCCATTGTTTCTTTTATCTCTCAGTGGTAGTTCTGTCTACCAGCAGACCCACAGCTTGTTTGTAAAGACAAATCCGTCATTCCTCTCACACCTGTCAGAAATAACTCTGTTCAGGTGGCTCCAGAGCTGCCCGAGGGTTGGGATGTGCATCTTTGGACCATTAGGGCAGCAGTCGGAAGGCTAAAAGCACACTCTTACTGTCCGTGAGATTCACAATCCTTCTTAATGCCTCCAAAGGCTTTAAGGAAATCATAAAACAAAAGGAGCTGAACACGTGAGATCTCATTTTGCCTTAACGCTTAGGAAAAAGAGATGTGTGTTAGAGACAGCATTAAAAGCAGCTAAAAGTGGAAAAGCAATGTCCGAGCTGTGAAGGTGATTGTCAGAAAATGGCAGAAGATGCTGAGTTCCCAGGAAGGAAGCAGGACGGTGTCACTTGGCTGCTGTAGCCGGGCTGGGTGGGAAGGGGTTGTCGCTGATATGATGGTAGATAAGATAGCACAGCTGCTGTGCTGCTGCCACCTCACACTCAAAGTAAGGAGTCACGCTTCAAAGCAGCATATTCTAAAAAAATCTGCAGTTGTGTTCCCTCCTGCGTTTCGCTTTTTGCGTTACTGCTCCATACTTGCTTCATGGATTTCACCTCTGACCCTATTTTGAGGCTCTCTTCGTTTTCATTTTCGGGTTTTCATTTAAACTAAACCTGTGCTGCTGAGGTGATGCTGTGGCTCTGGGACCTGGGGCTTCCACAGCGAGAGGACATGCCATGAATTTCAGAGTGAGAGTGTGAGACTTGGCACACACTCCAGTGCTGGCCTGGGAAGGGGAATGTTTACTGTTAAAAATCTCTTGTTTGGTTATGAGAGGGCTGAAAAAACATGTCATGGTGGTAGTTTTGTTTGTGCAGAAATCTAGAAGAGAGATGCAACACATTTTAGAAGAAGGACAATGGAAAAGTTAAGTAATGACCTGATGCTCTAAACCTTCTTCCCAGGCACTTATTCTTCTGCATTATAGTTCACAGGAAAGGTTGATTAAAATACACTTTTCCTTTCTTGTGTCAGACATTGTAAATGCAGTTTTTGCAAACTGGAGTCAAAGTCAAAAAAGTTTTTTTTTCCAAACTGCAAGATCTCATCACAGGCAAGGACCACTGTCATTAAGCTGCTGGTTTCTACTCTAGGCCTTCTGTTGCACTTTCAGTAAAAAATGGGTATGTGAGGCTGTTTTCTGTGCAGAGCTTCTGCTTGCAAAGAGGTTTTTCCCCCACAGTTTGAGAAATCTGTCTCAGCTTTTTGAATACCAGTGCAGCAGTACCAGAAAATTCCCTTGCATTTTTATTACTCAGAGTAGCAAAATCTCACTGTAGGAAAAAAGACATTTTTCCCCCCCAAAAAAATATTTGATCTGACATTTTTAATTCTTGAAAAGTATCACTCAGCTTCTTAGGATTGATTGAAAAAAACTGTGAAACAACTGACCAAGAGATTTTCATAATTTTTTAAGTTCAAATTCAAAATACGGTGACATTTCGATTTGTTTGATTTTTTTAACCTCCTCTGTAGTCCAGATTGATTTGTTAGTTAAATCCTAATGTGTATCTCTGTCCCTTTTTTCTGTTTCATTTTTCTCAACAGGGATTCTTGAGAATGAATTGTAGTTTTGGAAGTTTTCCCATTTTTAAACCTGACTGAATTAGCAAAATGTCTGCTCCAATGCCAGAACTGTGGCATTACATCCCAGAAGAAATCCTTGTCTGAATATTATATTATCTTTCTCTTTGAGATGGACACAGAGTCTTCCAGGTATGCAGACAAGGGGCTGCAGCTGTTCCTTCCAGCTGTTTGGCACTTCACAGAGGCCAGGTGAGAGGAACGGGGTCCTCTGTCCAAGCACCTATGCAGGAATAACCTGATTGTTATTTCCAGTGCACGTCAAACATCTACTCCACTCTGCTGTGGCACTACTGACCTTGTGACTCCTATGTGTGATGATGTTTTCTGGCATGACTAGCACCTGCTTACATAAAATTTGTGTTACTTGCTGGGTTTTGTCAGTCACTAATGGTGATTTGGGTTTTAGGGGAAATACCACATTCTTAGGTACACTGTCCTAAGTTGCCCTTTGAAAATAGCAAGAAAAAATTAATGCATTGTTATCCTTATTGTGACACTTACCTTGTCTCTTCTCAACTCCTGACTCTTTCAGTGCTTGGCCTTAAAAGACTGTAGTTATCAGGTGAGAACTCTGCTTCATTTTTTAGCAGGAATGTTGAGCTTTGCAAGTTTTTGCTAAGGACCTCAGGAAAATTTAATGTTGATTTTATATTTTATTAGTCACTTAAAGAGCAGTTTCTGAGTTGAAATGACCTTGACATTAAACCACATATATATTTAGAGCTATCTAAAGCTTTTATATTAATGATAAAATCATATTGTCTAATAGATTCTATGTGTAGCTGTTTTTAGCATCCTCTTTTCTCACGCAAGAGCAAAATAATTTCTGTTGACAAATAACATAGTAGCTAAACCTGCTTACAATTTTGACTTTTCAAAGTTTTGCTGAAGATGTACAATCCTGAGTCTGGCCAGCTATCGTTCATCTGTGCCAACCAAAGTTTAGGGCAAGAAAATTCCAAAATAACAACTCAGGTGCCTTCACAAGCCTGGGATTTCTGCACCTGGGTGTCCCACAGACTCTGGGCAGGTGGGTTTGCTCTGGTGACTTGCTCACCTCCCAGCATAAGGTGGGCAGCACGTGTTCCCTTTGCATGACGCTGCGTATTTATTCACAGCTCTGTGAGATCGGCTGCAGTGCATTTTCATTCTGTGTATTGTTCTCTGGGGCTGGTGATGCCATCCCATTGTGCTGAGTTTTTAAGAGTGCGAGCAGCACTGCTGATGTGACTCCCTGGACGCCTACTTTCCACTGGCCTGGGATAAAATTGGGTGGTTCATTCTCTGTGGGACGCAGGCGCGCCCAGGGCAATGGGACCAGTTTAGCTGGGACACTGCAAAGCTATGCAGGATTCACCCAGCTCTCTGGTGATGGATGGATACTCCAGCAATGTCCCAGCCTTCCTAACAAAACTCTGGACGCTGGTGGAAGACCCTGAAACGAACCATCTCATCTGCTGGAGTTCTGTAAGTACAGAAGATATTGGGTGTCACTAATGCCTGCAACCACAGGGAAAACCCAGGTGTCAGGCCCGAGAACTGCATGGCACAGAAGCTGCCCTGTCCTTGGCAGGTGCTGCCCAGTTACTGGCAGAGTGCAAAAAACAGGATTCAAGTACAGGAACTTTTGGATATACTTGGTATTATTTATCTGAAATATTGTGGCTTTTCTGTTTCAGAGGGTCAACAGTTTTGTGGGTGTTTTAATTATAGTATTTACACATTTCACTTGAAATATGCAAAAAAGTGTCTAATGTTCAAATTCTAAGAATTCCACATGCTTTGAGAGAAATGTTTTTCACCTTGCTTGAATCTGCAGCTCCCTGACATTTGTCAGGAAATGTGCAAAGCCCTTAAAAAGTTTCACTGCTGTTTTGAAAAGAAAAGTGTGTTTCTTAGCAGCCTCTCACAAATGTCTAGTTAGAAGGCAGCAGATAAACAACACTCAGAACTCAGACTCAAATTTATAATTTAAACAGATCTCAGACTGGCACCCTAAACTATTTTGGAAGACCTTTACCTGATTTTTCAATGAGACTGTGTGATGATCATGGTGATGTGGGTATATATTATCTGTACAGCTTCATAGGGATTGATTGCTTTGCTTTGGCTTCTTATTTATCATAGGGGCACTAATACACTAAGTGCAATCACAGAAATAAAATGATTTGTCCCCTTTACACAACATTTTGATACCACATTGTGATTTTGACCTAAGACTTGCTGTAAATAACATGATTTGTTTTCAACAGGGAGTTATTAGATAAACTGTGTGCATAAATTTGTTCTCCAAAATCAAGAATATATAACACAAGCAAATTTAAAGGGGGTCGTAAAAAACATCTAAAGCAGCCTTTCTTACATATACTTTGTGTCCAGTAGAGTTTTCATTCAAAACCTGAGACAGGATTTGAGCTGCATTGGTATCTGTGACCATGGTTGTTTGATGCTGGTATTACATGGCCATACCTCTGGAAAGCACCACATTTTGGAATCATGTGTTTTAAATAAGGATTTTAAAGCTAGAAATTATTTTCTAATCTGTGTAAATAGTCCCCTCTCTGTTACACTTAGAACACTGTTTTTTTTAACTGACCACCACCATGCTCTGCTTTCCTGCAAGCTAACATAGGCTACATCTGCATCCTTGGAGGTTTTGGTAAGGCTTTTAAGTGTCTAATTTTCCTGTTGTTGCAGATATCCATGTTTCTCATATTCTTCAGGTTCTATACATTGGTGATGTTGTAGCAGAGAGATTGTGTGCATACCTAAGATTTCTGTGTGTAATCAGTACTTCTAGAAAACAGGACCCATAAGGACCTGTGAACTGTTTCTTAGCATGAAAAAAGAGATGGAGAGGAAATGCAGTAATGGTTTATATATACACTAAAGTGTGTTGTAAAGTGGAAAGGAAAGGTCTGCTCTCTGTGTCTGTGGTAGATTGGGAAAGAACTAATTCAATTAATTTTTTAAATGGAAGATGCAGTAAGGGAGAGCTGGCAAATTCCTGGACTAGCACTTGTCTTGTCAGAGCACAACATGTCTGTCCTGGTGGTTCTGTCAAAAGCAGTTAAGATAAGCATCTGCCATGACTGTCATGCTGCAGTCAGTTTTGCTTTGAGCAGAGAAGACTTCCAGAGATTCTCTGAGCTTGTGCTCCCATGGGTGTAAAACAGCCAAGGCACAGCTGCAGTGTGGGAACAAACTGGCACATGCACAGTTCATCGGTGAACACATGGTAACCCCAAAGTCTCTTGTGTCTGTAGGAGCCTTTCTGAGTGTGCCAGCTTCTGAGAACATTGTGGCCCTGAATTCAAAGGAATGGCCTCTCATGAGAGCCCATAAAGAGTTGTTGAGGTGTACAAAACTCCCATGCTTCTCATTTTCCATCAGTGGGTCCAGCCTGGGACACACAGCTGTATCCCAGAGTAAAGGGACAGAAGCACAAGGGAAACTGAATAAACCAGCTCTGTCCCTAGGGCAGTTTCTACAGTGTTGGGAAACCCTGGTCCCTGCTGTCCTGTCTGCAAACTCTGTCTGTGAGGATAATTCAGCATGCGGGTTGTCAGTGAATCTCTTAAGTGTTTGATCAGCCTTTGCTTCTGCTGCATGGGGTGAGGAATGATAGGAAAGACCCCCAAAATGGTCAAAGAGCACTGTTGAAGCACAGTCATGTTCAGTGTTTGCAGTAGTAAGCAAGGAGCAAGACGTGCAGCTGACCCAAAGTCCTGTGTTTGTGAGTGTTAATTGTTAGAGCTGCCAAATGAGCCTGAGCACAGAGGCAACTGGCACCATTTGGTGATGGAAATGTAGTGTAGAGCAGCAGGGTTTGCCAGCTGGCTGGTTTCTGGTGGCCATGGGCAGGCTGCAGGCACACACCAGCCCCTCTTTAGTCACTGAGCTATCTCATGGCCCTAGTTGTACTCCCTGTTTTAGAGAGTTCCAGACCTCCCTGAGTGCACCCTTGCTGCTGCAGACCCCCGATAGGTGTGAGGTGGGACTCACCTCCTAGTGCACACAGAGCCTGAGAGCTCTTACAAAACACTGCAGCCCCTGTGGAATACCTACCCAGGCTGACACACCTCTGACTGCTGGTAACTGCACCAAACACAGCAGGAGGATGACTGTGGAGTGCTGGTCACAGACCCTTCCCTGCCAACATGGTGCAGGCTCTGCTGTCTTTAGCTCTTGTCCCTTGAAACTCCGCTGCAGCCGAGGCAAGTCCCTAATATCTGCTGATGTCATTGCACTGATGTAGCTGTCAGCAGGTAGAAGGCCAGACAGGGAAAGCACATGGCCTACAGTGAATCTTCTCTGCCAGCAATCTCAGGCAGTTTGCCTTGTTTGGCAGTCATGGGTCTTTGCAATGCAACCCCAGAAACTGAAGATTTATCTGATTAACATGTGTGCTTTAGCTTGGACTGCAAAGCATGACTATCAACATTTTTGTGGGTTGCTTTTGTGGCTGTTTACTATTAAAAATAATCAATAAAAGGTGTGTAGAGCTTCTGGGAAAATGTGGTGTCTTCCAAGATGATTTGCTTCTTGCCTTGCAATGTTTCTTGTGCCATGTCTCCAGACAGTGCTCCCTCAGGACTGCTGTGCTCTGGAGCAGATGGACTGTGGTTAGATCTGAACAAGTAGGTTATAATGGCAGGGGTTATAATGGCAATTCCCATTTTCATGGCCTTCTTACGACTTGAGTCTTTCTGTGAAGTCCATGCAAGAGAGGCTGATCCCAGATCACCTATCAGCTATTTGGGCACAAGTCAGTGGTTTCTTTGCCAAGACTCTAAACTAAGCAGTGACAAAAAGTAGAAAATTATCAAACCTGCAGCCACAGAGATCTGATTGTACCAGAACTGAAAGGAGCACTTCTGTCATTGAGGGTTGTTGTCACTCTTCTTAGCTTGAAGATGACAGTTCAGAAAACAAGACCTCCCCTGCTGTAGGACTCCTCCTGGGCCCCTCTCATGGTCAGGGATGCTCCCCTGATTTCATCTTTGTCCTTATCTCCTTTGCAGAATGGCACCAGCTTCCATGTGTTCGACCAAGGCCGCTTTGCCAAGGAGGTGCTGCCCAAGTATTTCAAGCACAACAACATGGCCAGCTTTGTCCGGCAGCTGAACATGTGTAAGTGCAGCTCCCAGGGCCCAGGACATGTGGGCCCCACAGATATGGGGGTGACAGGAGACATGGGAGAGAATTGTACAGAGAAAAGTTTGGGGTCTCATGTATATGACTTGTGGCATTATTGATTTTGCCAAAGAAGATCTGCCCCTCAGATCCCAGACTAGTGATCTCCTTGTGCTTACCTTAAATTCCAGCATGGAATTTCTGAGATTACATTTCAGGATGTGAGCTAAGAACTTTCATCTACCAGGTGTTCTGCCTCTCTTGCAATGATTAGATGACCTATTATTATTAATTTTCCATTTTATTCTATATGGAGCTTTATCCAGCTGCCAAATGTGCTGCTCTTGTGGGTTGTGTGCCCTGAGCTTATCCCTTTCACCAGCCGCATCACTGAACCAGTAACAAACACTTCTCCCTGCATACCTTGCCTTGCTGATCAGACATTTTTACCCCTTAAAGGAGGTTTAGGTGTGATTTTCGGCCACTTCAACATGACTGTTCTGATAGTTCTTGGAATTTTTTAATTGAGTAATTAAGTTCCTTAGTCAAGTTTTAGCTTTGCTATTTCACTCTATAGTAGCGTTTTTGTAAATTTTAGGCCAGTCCTTAAATACAGCTTAGAAACCTTTTGAGGACTTCAAAGAATCACTCAAAGCAGATTTCCAAATGTGCACATGACCCTTTTTTTCCAAAAGTGGTACCTGCTGATGGTCTGTGCCTTTGAAAAACCTTCTCCTGAATCCCTGTGGCTTGCAAATTGAGACAGGATTTCCCTAAGCTCCTGGCAGACCAGCGTGCCCGTGGCAGAAATGCTTTCATGGCATAGGCTGCAGCAGGGGTGGCCAGTGGGATGCACAAGGCTCTCTCTTGCCCTGGGTTTTGGTGGATATCCCCAAAAGCATGTCCAGGTATGAGCACTGGCAGCTCAGAAAGTGTGAAGGGTGATCAGAAATGTCCTCAAGAGTGATGAGGGTGGGAGGTGGAGGGAGTGCCCATCAGCCATGTCCTCTCTGTGCAGACGGCTTCAGGAAGGTGGTGAACATCGAACAGGGTGGGCTTGTCAAGCCTGAGCGGGATGACACTGAGTTCCAGCACCTCTGCTTCCTGCAGGGCCACGAGCACCTCCTGGAGCACATCAAGAGGAAGGTGAGGGGCACTCTGTGGGAGGGGGGAACAGGCACCTGCCAGATCCTGCTTAGCATAACTCCAGCATCATCCTGGTCTTGTTCCTGTCCTCCCCACACACATGTGCACCTGGCCTGGGGGTTCTTGGTTTGTAGTGCTTGGCTTGCATCGGAGTTTTATCTGTGTTTTTCTGCTCTGTTGCTCTGTAACACAAGATGTTTGTGTAGTGCTGCAGGGCCAGGCTTGCTTCTCACCCCTCAGCCTTTGAATTGTTACTGCTTTCCTAGAGAAATATGGCATAAATCCTGCAGGGTCCTCAACAGCCACCTTTTTTTCTTATACAAGGACAACCTACTCTGCCTTCTGTTTTCTGACTTTTAACCTGTTATTAATACCCTCAAAGTGTTCTCTTACTGAATTAACATAGCAACTTCTGATAAGGGACTTGAGCAAAAATCTTTTGGAAATCCAAGAGTAGTACATCAATTTGAAGCATTATGTCAGACACATCCCTGTATAACATGAAGTTTGATTGAGTATCTCTGTAGTCAAAGTAGAAAGATTAAATCTATCTAGATCAATTCCTCCCTGATACTCAAAATACTTTTGTTTTCCCCCCAAGCTGATTTGAAATAGGTCCCTACTCTGACAGGGAATGTATTTCTGCCAGGAGACCCTCTATGAATAGATTTCTCCTGCACTTTTCTCTATTTGGCTTTTGCAATAATACCCCTAGGATAGTTCAGACTCTTTGGCATGTGGCCTGTCCTGGTATTTCAGCTGGTGACAGTCCTGCACCTGAGCCACCACCTCTCTCTGTCCATGGCCCTTCTTGCACAGGTAAAATCTACCTTTTATTTTTTTCTCCTCAGGTGTCAGTAGTGAAAAGTGAGGAGACCAAGCTGCGCCAGGAGGACCTCAGCAGGTTGCTATACGAGGTACAGATACTGAGAAGTCAGCAGGAGAACATGGAGTGTCAAGTGCAGGACATGAAGCAGTGAGTTGAATCCTACACAGGCTGCTTCTAACGGGCATTTGCTTCTCTGGAGTGGTGGATTGTGGGGAATGGTTGAAAGGAAGAACCTTGCACACTTCCCTCCCCAGGGAGCACGTGGAGCCAGGGACTGACCAGAGATCTGCTGAGACAACAACATGTAGGATTGCTATGCACACCTGATCTACAAAATATGAATAAATGCTCAGCCCCTCTGTCTCATTTGTTTTCCCTTCACAGATAAGGAAAACACAGAGAAGGTCAGACAGGAAATATGTGCATAACCTGGGGACTTAGATCACTATTTCCTCCAGATGGAAATGGTGATAAAGATGTAACTCTCTTGCACATACAAAAGTACTTGGCAGAAATTTGCTAGAGTCCACTCCAGAAATTAAGAAATTACCTTTCTGCCATCATTCACCTCCAGAATTTGTGACTGGACTAAAAAAATATAGTATAGTATATTATAATATATAATATAAGAACTTCTGTATCATTTAGTCCATAGACTCATCTCCCTGAGACTGTGTCATCTGACATGGCCAGAATTGTTGGGTAAGAGCAAACCAAGCTGATGCAATGCTTCCTGCATGTGGTTGCCTGACCTCCAGCTGTCTGAGACTCTGGGATTTTCTGACTCAGACATGGTCACTAAAAGATTAGGAAGTGGATATGGTTATATAAACCATGTACTTGGAGAGGCTTTTATTTGCCTCCAGAATTTTAATCTTTACAGAATTTTAATCTTTGTTTAAAAAGCATTTGAATAATCAAATAGACCCAAACTCTTTCTTCTATAATGAGAATTCATTAATGATATTCATATACCACCAGTTGACACTGTCATTCTGGGCCTTGACAGAACTCTGCATACTGGGAAACTTCATTCCAGCCCAGTACCTTACGTGCAATGGATACATATTTTTATCCTACATAATTTTTTAATGACTCCCACACTTAGCACATGCATGAGTTTGCACTGTGAAATCTAACTGCAACAGCAATGACTTTCTGGGCTTGCATTTGATTTAATTTTTAGGGAGTTCCAGTATTAATGATTTGGCCTTGATTTTAATTTATTCTCCCTTTTGATTTGCTTGCTCGCTCCCTCCATCTGGAAAAATTGCATTCAATTGATGAAAATAATATGACTTTTATAAACTGAGACAGAGGAGAATCCCAAGCTGAATCCCTGTTAAGAAATTTACACTGGTGAAGAACAATTAGGACATAACTCCAGTACAAGCTGTCAGACTAAGGAATGCTGCTTTGCTGGAAATCCTGTCAGTACCAGTACAGAAAGTTCACTGCAGAGATTCTTGCTGTATGAGTTGTTCTACTGTGCTCTTCAGATCTCTGGACTTTACCTTCCCAGTTCTAGCATCCATCCACACTAGAAAGACTAAAAAGCAAAACGATTTATCAGTTTCACCTGTAGGATAGGTTTTGCTGGCCAGTTTAGGTACATCCATATATTCTAGAGATAAATTGCCTGGGATGACTGTTAGAGGAAGCCTGTAAGCTCACCTCTGTGCTGCTTCATTTACAGTCAGAAAATAAATTTTCTTTATGCAAGCTGGACACAGGTCTGTGCTGGGTTAAATCAGTGGCTCCTGCTAATAAAATCATTGCAGTCCTCCTAGTTCAAGGCTCTGAGATGCAGGAGCATCCTTTTATCTGCTCCAGTCACTCCCAAACATGCATTTAAACCACCACTTGTATGAGTTCTAAGCAGGTAGAATACACAGGGTCTCTGTTCATAGGATCTTGTCTTTGGGAGCACTGGTGCAGTTGTGGAGAGGCTGGGCTTTCTTGGCTCCCATGCAAGGACAGTCTGGGTGATCTAAATAAGTCACAGTCACAAATCAGGCCTTGCTGAAATTCTGAGTTTGGCTCGAATGTTCCACAAAAATGTGTCCTCTTGTTACCTTCGCCTGTAAACGTTGGCTTCTCTTTATCTGTTTTTCCTCCATTCTTTGATCTCTAGTTCTTTTGAGGTCAAGGAAGAAAAAGGAAAGCAATTGTGTGACCTTGTTTGGTCCCTGAAAAGATCCAAACAGTGCAAGAGCCCAGAAGTGAGACAGACTTTGCACAGTTGAATCTCCTGTGCATCATGGCAGCACCATGGGCTGTTGATGTCTCTGTTCTCATGGAAAATTTCTGTTTCATTTTCAGGCAAAATGAAGTTCTTTGGCGAGAAGTTGTTTCTCTCCGGCAGAACCACTCACAGCAACAGAAAGTCATCAACAAGGTAGTAGTCATATAAACTCCAAACTCACTTGTGCTGCCTGGTCTATGTCCTCCTCTGATCCTTTGTCCCATAATCTCCACACTGTGATGCAATGTAATTATCTTCCCTTTCTTTTAAGCTGTGTGATGCTTTTATGTGTCCTATGGAAACAGGTCATTAACAAAGCACAGACTGCACCCTTAAGCAAAAGATTTTAATTTCCCTGTCAGTCCTTTTTGTAGTGATGTTAGAAACCACTTTTCTGTTGAAATCCTGAGCAAGAGAGCACAACTCTCACTAATTGCCCTGTGTTGGCTATGTTCTGTTTGTACCAATGCCTTTGGGCTTCCCAAATCTTCCTCTTCCATTTGTCCATGAGAGGAGCCCCACTCCTGCCAGCACCAGTGGAAAACTGGAGGTGGCAGAATTGGCCACCCATTGCCCCACTGGGGGAATGTAACAGCAGCTATTACATTTTCTGGTGTTACTGGTATAGCTGAGGAATTAATGTGCAACATTTTAGGCTTCAGAACCATCTCCCTTAAAATCTAGCATGACCAGTACAGAAAAGGCTCTCCAGTGATTCCTGGATGGTGCTGACATGACTGAGCACGTCACATATCCCGGTCCCCATGTTCTGACCCTCACGTGGCATCACGGAGTCATAGGACTGGCCAGAAATGCACGAGGTTATCAAGCCTTCCTCCAGCTCTGAGGCTGGACCAGCCACATGCTTCATAGAGCTTTTGTAGAGGCTTTTATGCAACTCTATTTTATTATATTGAGCAATGAGTAAGAGCCAGCTGTGATATATAATAATAATGCTCTCTTTGTTTGGAGGTCAAAGCAGAGCATTAAGTTCAAGCTGACCTGGGAATATGTTGCTAAGTGATTTCTCTCTAAAGCTACTCTGCTTCCTTTTTACTGTCCTGTTATATCAACACTGACATTTACAGAGCTGGAAAACTCAACTGAAAGAGCTCAGACCTCCATCCAGGCTCTCCATAGGGAGTTGCCTCTTTCACTTGCAAAGTCTTTGTCAGACTTTACAGAACTCCTTCTAAATGTCTCTGAAAACTTTAATAAAACTTTAATGCATCCAGGTCTAACTCCAGGCCTTGGAATGTTTGCATGTGCACTTCACAGGTCTGTTAGAACCAGCTGAAGTTCTTTGTGCACAAAGTGGAGAGAGAAAGTGCTGAGCACAACCATCCAGGAATCTTTGCACAAAGCAGGCACCTGGCTGTGTCCCTTGAAAGCCTGGCAGGCTGTTTGAGTTCTTGGACAGCTCATTTCTGTTTTGGGCTCCAATGTCTCATGCAATTTGGCTCCTACATTCTATGGCTGCTCCCAGCTTTGGGGTGCTGTTGGGAGGGAGGAATGCGTGAGATAAGAATGGCTGTGAGAGCAGGGAGTGCTGAATCACTCTGCTGATGAACACCGGATTTTGATCTCTCCTGACAGCTGATTCAGTTTCTGTTTGGCCAGCTCCAATCAAGCCCCAGCAGCACTGGGATAAAGAGGAAGCTGTAAGTACCCGTGTGTGGTGCACACGCTCACGGGTGCATAATGCTGCCCCCTCACTAAAAGCACAAGCTCAGCTCGCCCAGGCAGGCGGTCACCGGACCAGGGCTCCATGGTGATGGGAAATGAATGGGCTGAAGTGCAGAGTCAGACCTGCTGACAGGCCCCATTCACTGCCCTTTAGAGAAGCACCGTGTCAGCTCGTGACCTTCATTTGGGGAACACAGCGCGCAGTGGGACATGGGAATGCTAACTAGGGGAAGGCTAAAGGACAGGACCCCACTGCTGGTCCTACAGGTTCCAGTTTTCCACTTGCCATCTATTGGGGCAGGGCTGGGCCCAGACAGCCCACAGACACCTTCAGTTTGACCCACAGTCACTGAGTGTGGTGTGTAGCCACACTTGGTGGTGTTAACCTGCAGGCCTTGCAAAGAGGAAGGTGGGAAAAAATTTTAGCTGCGGGGTATCTTTAGATAAGCTCTTCAAGGCAAGTGAATAGAGTGACTTGAATTAGGAAGCTTAGTGCCTTTCAGGAGAGCGTTTCTTGCCCTGTGGTGCTTGTGATTAAAAGGAGGGAAAGAGATTTCTGAATGGAATTTGCTGAGGACAGGGACCTGCCTCCAGTTCCTACCTTTATTACCTTGTGGCCTTTGACAACTTAGAAACTTCTCCATGCTGCAGAGAAAGGAGCCAGACCTCCCATGAGTGACTCAAAGGAGTCAATTTTCATGAAGTCAGTGTCCTTGACTGACTCCTCCTGTGAGGGTTGTAAAGGCAACACAGGATTGAATGCATGAGCCCATGATCTGTACAAGCCAGCAGGGTATGTGCATCTCTCCCTACCCTGTCTGCTGAGTCTCATGGGAGAGTTAAACACTGTGAGTAGCAAAGAAAAGGGCTCAAGGGGAGAATAGAAGCTGCTGAGTTGCTGAGGTTCATGACGGGAATTTTTCCTCCAGTAGCGTGGGCAAGCAGAGAAATGAGATGCCAGATCTGACCTCTAGTTTTCATGGTCAGGGCTGTGTTCTCCCTGTAAAAGCTTTGCAGCACAAGAAATGTCTTAGACAACTGTTTTTTTGTAAAAAGGCAAATAATTAGTGAGAAAGTGTGCTGAAAAGGACAGGAGAGCACAGAACTACCTGCACAGCAACTGTTTTGACCCCCTTATGGTGAGGGATCACACTTCACACAACCAACTGCAATTTGCAAGGTAATTTGAGTTCCTGCTTCCTTGGAAACACAAAGGTCTCTCTTCCAGAAACCTCAGCTCTTGTGTGTATATCTGCATCCTTAGCGTTTTATCTTTCATGATTGTGTTTTCCTGCCTCTCTTCTAAATGGCTGCAGGAAAAGATGGTATGCAGCCTGGAGCTGCTTGGTGCAGAGCAGAGTGCTGCCTGGGGGCTCTGGGTAGGTTTGGGCAGGATGGGCAGGTCTGCATCCTTCCCTTCTCTGTTTGTTATCTCCTCCAAAACAGTTTTTTGTCTTCCTTGCCCGTAACACCAGGCAAGAAAGACTCCTACAGCTAGGGAAAACCAGAGGACACAGGGGACAAGAGCTCTTGGCTGAGGGATGTTTTGTGTATGAGCAGCCAGGAGCCAGTCAGTACCTGCTGGAAGACAAAACTGTTTCTCTTCACAGGCCTCTGATGCTTGACAACGGGATCTCAGCTCCACCAGTGTCCAAGTTCAGCCGGCATTTGTCTGCAGAGCCCCTCCATGACCCCTATTTCATACAGTCGGTGGGTTCAGCCCAGCCTCTGAGCTCTGTGGGATGGCTTTGGCCAGGGGGGGTAATGTTTGAAACAATAACAGAGATTATGGAGTTAGTAATTTGGCAAGAGCTTGGCAGTCAAGAAGAAATTAGGTTTGTTAGCTGGGTGACATTTAAAACTTCTTCAGCTCCCCACTTTCACAGATGCCTTCTTGAGGGAGGCCATGAGCTTTGGGGGGAAAAGGCAGACCCTGCACACTGAACTCTCTATATTGTTACCCCAGCCTGGTTCACCTCGAGGGAAGAGAGGAAGAAGTGAGTTCTAAAAGTGGGATTTTTGTAGCCTCTGAGGTGTCCCCACCATCATCAGAGCAGACAACAAACACTTCTGTCATGCAGTTAAAATACATGAGCTGGCATGAGAGGCCCATACAGCCCTGTTGTATCTTTCCCTCCAAAAGAAGCTGAGCAGTCTAGGCAAAATGTCAGACATGGTGAAACCTCTTGGTTGCTGACACTTCACAGGGTTTATTTCACACCTCTACCTCTGTGCTGTTGGAGGAAAAGTGAGAGGAAATTATAATGTTGCATAGTAGGTAAAAGCTTTCTTGGTTTCCATATAGGGAGGACAGTGAATAAACTCTAACCATCTAGGGCCTTGGACTTGTTTTGGGGTCAGAATGATAAATCTATATGACTTTTGCTTTCCTCTTAGCCATCGACAGAGCCTGCCTCTTGCTTAAACAGCCCTGCAATCACTGGAGGACCCATCATATCTGATGTTACTGAAGCATCACCATCCAACATCATGAATATGCAATCCCCTCCTGAAAATGACAGGTAAACATGTTTGTGGTTAAAAACAAGGAGAATTGGGTATAAACATGCCTATGCAGCTATTCTCTTGATTTTTTTGTGTCTGTAATTCTACCAAAGTTTCTGTCTGATTCATGAATCTCTATACAGATATAGGATGGAATACTTTTTTCCAGTTTGCAAAGTGGGTCACATTTTTAGAGGCGTATAATAACAACATAACTTTCAAAACAAAGTCCTGTGTTTCATCCTGAGAATTTCCACTCTGCTTTTTGAGAAATATTCCATGTTTCTTTATATTTTGTCCTCAAGACAGGGACTGTCTCAGACTTAATCAAATAATGAGATACTAACACTTGCTGGGTTTGTTGAGAGAGAGAAAGGAGGGTTTCCTTTGGCTTTAGCAAAGAAGAAACAATCAAATTTTACATCTAACAGCTAATGAGAACAGTAAGGTTGCATCACAACAACTTCCGATGTTTGACAAATTTTCTGTGAAAAGGCCCCAGTAACTTAAGAACTTAATGCAGAGTATTTTAATGCTTATCTCTTCCTGCCACAGACATGCAGTGTATTCAGGGCTGGTAGCAGAATAGCTAAAGCTATGTCAGTGGAAAGTAAGTAGACAGATGAATCATGGAAACAGTTTCTCAGGCTTAAAGGCAAGGCAGTTATATTCTAGAAATTGCCTGTAAATCTGTTGCATAATTGAAACCATAGCCGTAAAATTAACTAGAAGCATGTAAAGAGCTTCAGATTGAAAAAAAAAACAAACCTGGAAGCCATTTCCAAAGCAGAAAATCCTTAGTATAACCTTCAAGTTAAGTTGCTTATTTCTACTAATTACTGAGTGCCATCTGGTGGCTTCTGATCTGTGCTGTGTCTGCATGACTTTAGCATCTGAGCCAGCCATGGCCCCAGTCAGTTCAGGTGTGGTACCTCCTAATCAACTGCACTTCTGGTGGGAATTTAGGCCCCATGAGATGAGAAGATGATCAGAAAGGAATGTTGAGGAAAGCTCTGTAGTGTCACATACCTTCCCTGTTATCTCCATGCCTTTGTCACTTTGGCTCCAGCTGTGCAGGTTCACAAGGAGCTCTAAAGTCTCCTACAAGTAATGCAGAGTAGGCTTTTACACACAAAATGCTTCTAAACAAAACTTCATTGTCATTTGTCCACCTGGAAATAAGGTGGAGTGCCTCTCCCATTGGAAAAGACAAACCTCTGCCTCCAACCAAGTAAAACATCTGACTATGACTGTCAGATCTCAACAGCTTCTGTTCAAGTCCTGCAGGGCCACAAGATCCTGACCTGTGTCATTGGCATCTCTAGAGAGCTTGCTGATCCAATCCTAATTCCTGCATGGGATGGTCTTACTGATCCCATTCCTATCTCTAGGGTGGAGACTTTTCTTTTTCAGGGGAATCTCTCTAGCTCAGTGTCCCTTTAACCTGTCCATAACACTCACCCAAGAAATGATCAGTGCACAGAAATGTATTTTCTGTATTTGCAAAACAATTGAATGGGGAAAATTCATTATAACTGTGACTGATGAAGTGACTGCAGATATTCCAGCTGAGCATGTTTCTGGAGCTTGCTGAAAAAAAGAAGAGGCTGCTGGCTTCATTTGCCCATCTGAGGAAATGGAAAGACCTTCTGGGGCAGTTTGATGGGCAGTGGAAGCAATGCCTTGTCCTCCTGCCCTTCCCAGCAGCACGAGGCCTTTGCAGAGCAGCTGTGTGTGGTGCTCAGTCGTGTCTCTGATGCAGGGAGAAGTGCCTCATGCTGATCAAGGAGGAGCCAGTGAGCCCTGGAGTGAAAGCCAGCGTGGAGCCCGAGGTGCCCCTGCCCGGCTGCAGGGCCTGCTCCGAGCCCCCGGTGCTGCCGGTGGCCATGGTCCAGTCTGTCCTGGAGGGCAAGGGCAGCTGTGCTGCAGCCCCACCAGGGACCTCCCAGCCACCCGAGAGGAGAGGCAGGAGGGCACTGCTGGACAGGTGAGGCGAGCCAGGGAGAGCTGTGGCCCTGCCTGCTCATGGCCCTCTCCTCCCATTCCCAGGGTGGGGAGGGAGGGTGACTTGGAGTAGCCGAGAGCAGCCTGGAGAGCTTCCTCTTGTACCTGTGGCACCTGCTGGAGGAGGACTCCTGAATCCCAGGGGACAGTTCACAGAGGGAGGGGGCATGTGGATCACTTGCTTGAAGAGCTGTCAGAGGATGTGCATCAGAGCTGTGGGAGCAGGAAGAGGAGTTTTGCATTGAGAGAGATTTGCCCAAGGTCCAAGTGAAAGCTGGAGCCCAGAGTATCTGCATCTGCAGGCCTGCACTGGGCTGTGCTACACCCCTGCCCAGGGGATTGGCACTCTGATGTTAGGCTCAGCCTCAGGGTGATCCCAGTGAGCCACTTCTGGGGCTGTGCTCTGAGACTGAAACCCCAACAGCACCCATGTCATGGGCAGTTTCCAGGAGGCCTCCCTGCAGAAGGAAAGCATGGTGCAGCTGGGTGGATGATGTGGAACTTAACTGCAGTTCATTCTTGGTAGCAACTGCAGCAGTGTAAGGAGGACTGTGAGCGAGGGGAACCCAAAACACCCAACAGGGTTATCAGAAAAGCTTCCATTTTCCTTTAAGTCCTTACAGAGAATCAAATTCCTCCTTCTAAACCCACTGGATGCTTAAAAACATATTACTAGAAGAAAAAGAATCCTTTTTTAAAGACCTGATTTTAAGAAAAAATTTTTCTTGCTTTTTTGGGGTTTAATCACAGTAGGGCCTCATTGTTGCTCATTTATCTGAATGTCTCTAGTAAATCAGCCTGCAGGGTAAATGCCTGCAGCTAAAAGTCACTCCTTTAAAGAGCATTAGTTAACAGTAATTCCAGCATCTTGGACCAATGAGAATGGCAACACAGCCTGTTCTGACTCTAAGTGCATTTCTAAAAGGATTTATTCTAAGGACAGCTTTAATTTTCCAAGTGTTAAGGAGCTGGGAACAGACTATCCATCTCCAAACCACGTGTCACCCAGGAGAGGGATTGTCTCATCTCCATCTGCCCAGTCCCCTGTGTGCTCTGCCGGGTTGTACTCAGGGATTAAATCAAATTTTATGGCATAAACCCAGGCTGACAGTGGGGCCTTGGTTTTCAAAATAAGATTTAAACATAAACATCCTTTTGGAAGGCTGCTCAGTCCTGCTTTCTGTAGGTTTCTATGCAAGTTTCCTTTGTGGCAATATTTCCCCTTGTGTTTTCTCAGAACAGATATTTCAGACCCGTTGGAGGGCACTGACTGGAGCCTGGAGGGGCTGCAGCTGCTGCTGAGGAGCCAGCAGTACAGCCTGGAGCCTGCCAGCCTCTTGGATGTGAGTGTTGCTGGGAAGGCTGCATCAAACAGAGCTGTGAAGTTCACAGAGGTTCCTCTGGGCTGTGAATCAGGTCATGCTGCTTGTTCTCATGTGGCATTTTATCTGCCACATGCAGCCTGTGGAGTCACAGCTCTGTTTTGGCCTGCTCATAAGATTTCAGCTTTAAATTGTGCCTTTTTTATTTTATTTTTTAAAATATGCATATTTGAACTTTTAGGAGCACAAAACACTGCATTTGGTGAAGAAATCAGCATCAGACCTGACATATTTATGTAAAATAAATGTGTCAGCTCTGATGTCATAATATGACTAGCTAGTTTGTAGGGGTTAATTTATTTTCTGCATATTTTACATCTTAGATATTCCTAGATTGTGTTTAGCTTTTCCTACCTTCCTCTCTTCCTCATATTCAGGGAAGTGTAGCCAATGTAAAATCCTCTCTCTGCTGAGGTAATTATCAGTTTCAATTCTTAGATCACCTTTCTTTAGAAATGGATGGTGGCTTTTTCTTAAGCAGACATGCAGAAATAGGAAGGTTTGATTATTTCTCTGTTGTACATATAGTTGGTATATGAAAGGCTTTTTGCCAATAATCAAATAACTCTGTAAGAAAAAAATCTATATGTTAAATATATGTGTCCTTGAGTAGGTGCTTCAGATAAAGGCATGTTGTAAGCTTGCATGGATAAACAGAATGAAAAGTCATTTAAAAAAAAATCAATCTTATTCTCTTCAAGTCAGTTCCCAAGTGTCTGTGCTTGATTCTGACCTTACAGAGAGCTTTGCTAATGGCCTGCTCTGTCACTGACTGTCGGTTCCTGTTTCTTGTTTCTCATTAGGAAGCGTTTTTCCTGTTACTGACACACTTCTCTCTCTGTGCAACTAATGTCACAAGAGTGAGAATGAATCATGAAATTGGCCCCAGATCAACAGCTCCTTTTCCCAAATTGCTCAGACTTCTCAAGAAATTGCCACCAAAGCCGTAATGCAACAGTAACCTGTCCTCTGCTACTAAATTCAGAATACTTTTAAAATAAGTCATGTGAATCTGGGAGTGTCCTAGGACTCAAGTGCAGCAGAAAAGGGCTTTGATTTTCAAACCAGCATCCTGGTTTGTGACAGGACAGTGGCATGGGGTGTCTGTGCTGTGCCTCCTCTGGCAGGCAGCAGCACAAGTGCCCACAGCCCAGCCCAGCTGTGCCACAGGTCAGCACAGGAGCCTTTGTCTGCAGCTTCAGTGAGTGCAGGGCTGCACCCTCCAGCAGGCAGGGGAGGGCATGAGAATCTCAAACCATTACACTTTTCAGAGCCCTAACTGTATTTTTATCCCAACAGGTCTTTAATCCAAATTTATCTCTGAGTGAGTGGAATTTGACTGAAATGGAAGCCAGTCTGTCCCCGGTAAGAGATGTGTATTTCTGAGATATGATAATAACAGCCATAGAACTCCAGAATGGCCGAAGTGGAAGCAACCTTAATGTTCATCCTGTTCCAAACCCCCTGCCCACTGCAGGGACCCCTTCCCCTAGGTCTCCTTGCCTAAATAATAATGGAAGTGTGAAGCAGAGCTTGTGCATAACTGAAGAAGTTATTTCATAACCAGAGGGGAGAGTGGGCTAAAGCACAGCACGTAGGCATCTCCTGGGGGCAGCAGGAGAGTGTTGTATTATACTCTTGACCTGGTTTTCCCACTTAGCCAGGCTTTGTCTGGAGACAAGCTCTGACTGACTGTTGGTGTCCTGGAGTCTTTAATTGCAACTGGCTGCTCTAAACTTTCTCTGAGTGAGAATGTCACATCCTACTAATACCACAGATTTATAAAGTGTCTTTGTGCCAAAGCTCTTTATAAAATATGCCTTTACAAAGTGCAGCCATCCCTGTATGTTTCAGGAGCAGTAAAATACCATGCAATTAGAACAGAGGTTCCTGCATGCCCGCACATGAAGAACAAGGAGAAATTGTTTGGCAGTATTTGTTTGGAATTGATATTTACACAGACATTTCTGCAGTACAGAAAGAGCAGGTTTAATAAACAGTGAAGGAAACTATAGACTCAGAAGCATTAAGGTTAGAAGAGTATTGCATGGGTGGGTTCTTTCTCTTGTGTGACTCAAGGCTTGGATGGGTCTGCCAGATATTTCTAGAGATGCACAAGGAGAGGGTTATCTACTCTGATGAAATGCAAAAAGGCCTCTAGGCCTTCTTCATGATATCAACATCCTTTTTAGGTTTTAATAATTTTGAATTTACTAGGTAACTCCTCTTCCTGAGTGTTAGGAATGAGAGTGTCTAAGATAATAATAGTTAATATTAATTAGCAAGTCTTGGAAGCAAGGACTGTAACCTTTTTAAAAGCATTGCATGAGAGAAAAGGCCAGGAAAGGAGGCTGCAATGTTCAATAGTTCAGTCCTTGAGCCCACTGAATTTCCCAGGAGCTCTTGCTTGTCCTACAGAAAGTCATGAGCATGGAGAAGCCTGGAAGCAATGCATGCAGGAGCTCTGTGCCTAGAGCACTGTGTAAGCAAAAACTAGTTTCACTTAAAAGACAGTCATAGGAAAATGGAAAGAAAATCTCTTTCCTCTTTGTTTCTGGCTGTAGAGGACTGGGGTTTGCTTTGTATGGCAGCCACAGTGACACCAGCCTGGGCCCTCGTGTGACATGAGCTTCACACCGTATTAGCCAGCGCTGAATAGGGGATTACACCTCCCACAGCCCTGTCCTTCAGGCACATCTGCCCTTGAGCACATGGTGTGGCTGTTTCAGTGAAGTGCAGCGAGGCTGGGAGGAGAGGCCGGGCAGGGAGGACAGCTTGTGTTACTGGTGGGTGTTGTGCAGTGGGGTGAAGCACCGGTGCTCAGACATGGCCTAGTTCTAACAAGCTCCCCTGTCTTTGTATAATTGTACATTGTAGTTTATATTTTTGCATCAAGATGCAGCGACTCACAGTGGATCTGGAGAAGAGTGCAACTGAGCTGCCTTCAAAAGTGTTTAACCCACAATTCAACACCACCTGCCCAGGTAGGAGCACCTGTGCACTCTGTGCACTTGGCAGTGGGATGTTGTTCAGGCAGCCAGATAGGATGTGCAGCATTGACAGATTGCCATTTGAGGGAGCAAACTCTCTGCCTGTTCATTGCCACCTTAGAGCAGTGTGGTGATCTCAGTGGGTAGGGGTGGTAAGAGCTGTACAGTCCTGGGTTTCCTCTGGTTCCTGCTGCAGAGGAGGTGCCCCAGTAGCTGCTGGGAGCCAGAGGCACAAGGTTGTGTGTCTCTTTCTCCAGACCTTTTAGCAGACCTCAAGGGAACAGTCCATCTGATCCACTTGCTGACTGATAAAGTGTGTCATTTACCTTAGATATGAATCCAAGAGTGTTGTTCTGATTTTGGAATCATGATGAGTGTTCATGTGTGTTCAGCTGTTCAGGGACAGACCTGAAAGAGAAGCTCTTGTTAGCCCCAGTTTGGTGCTGTAGCCACCTGAGCCTGCCCCAGTTGTGATTCATTGTGTGTCATTCAAGGACTTCCAGCCTCAGCCTCTTTCCTGAGCACCTCAAGGTTAAAAGCTCAGGTACACTGAAGAGAGTCCTGGAGCACCCCCTGTTTGCAAAAGCCTTTCTGGTCCTTCTGCAAAGAGGGATAATGATACATCTTGAATGAAGGAGAAGAGCAGCTGCTCTCATACTCTTCTCAGTGTCTCCAACATTCAGTCATCCCTTTTTCACTTGTGAGGCATCTCAGCTTTCAAGCAGAACCCACCTGCAGAGACTCCCCTTGATTTTAATGCGCTTTTGAATGAGTCCAAGTTCTACTTAGGTGCTTCCAAGCCATTTTGCTGGAGTGAGGCTCCTCAGTTGCTGCTGCAGTTGGGATTTGTGATTTTTCAGTTCTACTTATGTAAACCCAGGAAAACTACCTTCAGAAGCTGAATTTTCTGTTATCCATTCCCAGGGAAAGATGTCGTTCTTGAAAGTGCCCAGCAGTTCCTCCTTGACCGTCAGTCCATCTTTGGGAATGACCTCATCAGCTTGCCTGAAAATTCATCACTTTATGTTCCTTCTGAAAATACAGCTCCCTACATGTCCCCTGTGGGTGTCCAAGGGGATATCCCCCTAAACCTGAGTTCTTCAATGGACAACAGCCAGCGATTTAGCTTCCAAGAAACAACTCCCTCTCAACCATCCAAGCATCTGCAGGTTTGAATGTAAAGAAACAAAACTGACTCAGAGGCCCATAAGAGAGTTTATTTTTGTGCCCTTTTTTTTTTAAAATGAATAGATGGAAGTGTTCAGTAGCTGTTGCATTACCCTCCCTGCACCTGGATTTCAGTGTTTTCAAAAACAAAATACTACTTCTGGTGCTTGCTCCGAGGTGGAGTGAGAAGTTGCCAGGATTTTTTTTTCCTTGAAAATGCTTTAGAAATTTCAAATATTTTAATAAAATTTAAGTGAAAAGTAGCTTTAAAGTCCATCTGAGACTTCATAAAATAGTGACCCTGACTAGTGCTCGCAATGGCAAACTGTTGGGTTTTATTGGGGCAGCACAGATTAGCTAAGATGCCTGACCCTTGTTGATGCTGGTTTTTCATTAGGAAAATATTTCTACATGCCAGTCCAATGCTATAAAATAATTTTTTAATCCATTTTCTGGGTTTGATGGGATGCACCTGTTCATCCTAGGGTGAATAGGAAAATGATCTCTTGCAGTGTGTAGAAGCTTGTTTTCTGAGTGACCCCACCAAGAATGTGCCTCTGGCTCTTAGGGGAGCTGGAGACCATCACTGCTCCAGGTCTGCAAAACATCCCATGCTGAGTTGAGAGCTTTTGTTGTTTGAGATTTGTTTTGCCCAAATTTATTTTCTCTTACATAAAGGTAGGACACTCTGTACTTAAAAAATATAAAAGGGATAGACTTTTCTGCACACACAATTTTCCATGTGCAGAAAGGGCTGAGGGAGTGCACTCTGGGTTTTGGTGCTGGCTAAGTATTTCATGTCTAGTCCATTGGTTTTTTTTTCCCTTGGCTTTGTCCAGTTCTATTTCCCCTGAAGAAATGCCTGTTAGTTTATTGATGTATAAAATCTGATTAAACAGTTTAATTTATTGGATCCCTTTATTAGAAGGACTCTCAGCTTCTCAGTGTAGGAGAGAGGCAGAATGGTTAGCCCACCATGTCCCACAAACTTTTCTTCTGCCCTTTGTGCATCTGAGACCAGGCTTAAAGACTGAACTAACCTTCCCCATCCATGTGCTTTCTGACAAATGAGTTTCTCAACAAAGCAGAGCTTTGTTTTTTATGCTGTAGTTCTAATGAGAACATATTATTTATCTCAGTATCTTCTACCTAAGTTGCTTTTCCTTAGGAAGGTTACCCAAATGCAGTAGGACAGACCCAGGAAATTCAATTAACTCAGGCCTCCTAAGGGCTTAGACAGGGAGGTTTAAACTGTGCCAGTATTATTTGAAGAAATGCTCTGCCTGCCTTCATTGCTGTGACAATTCTTGGTTATGAACCATATTTCATTGTGGTCAAGCAGCATACACCCCAAGATGTATCTAATCAGTCAGATGAGTGCAGGCTGAAAATCTCCTCAGTAAGATGAGCATTTTTAAAACGGACCTTCCTGTCACAGCCCTTTCCTCCATCCATTTATCACTATGTGAACAAATGTTTTAGTTCAGAAACATTCACTTTTGAGCACATTTTTGCCCAGCTGATTCCTGCACTGGGAGCTCTGTCTCTGCCTTGGTTGTGTGGTCTGTGCAGAAGCGAGGCTGTGAGAGCTCCTGAATTAATCCCAGGCACTGTTTTTGTGCTTAGGACTAAGGGAAAACTCCAGCAGCCCCCACTGGCCTGGTATTTAGATGATGTGCTTGAGTGTATCCTGGACAAGGTTTTTCTTTTTGACAGATTTGTGCTTAGAAATTTCACCTAGCTCAGCCCATTTCCAGCCCATTTTACCCTTTCCAGCAATGGAAAGTCGTTGAGTTGCACTCTGTTTACTTCTTTTCTCATAGGTAATTGAGAACTGCCTGTGTCTCCTGACACTGACAGTGTATGTTCAAGATTTACACCCTTCTCTGAACTTCCACGCTCTAGGTTGCTGTCATGCTAACACTGAATGTATTGATGCAACAAAGTGTTTAAGCACATGCTTAACTTCAAGCTCCTGAGTAGTTTGCCTGTATTTTTATGGAGCCTGTCACATGCTTGAGGCTGGGCATACGCTTGTGTCTGACTGGATTGTCTGGTTGGGGTTGAGAAATGAACCCCTGGGGAACTGCCCGTGAGCACAGCCAGGTGCAGCGCGGCCCTGGCTCCGTCTCAGGCTGTGTCCTGCAGGGGAAGCTCCAGCCTGTGCTCGTGGGGTTTTCTTTAGGCTTTTTGCTCTACTATAAATGTGAGGTTGGAGCTTGATGATGAGACAGGAACCTCCAGGAAGAGCACCTGGGAGCCATTCCTGGGAAGAAGCAAGCTTGTGTTCCTCGGCTTTTACACTGTTCATTTTACTTGATGTGCTGAGACTGCGTTTTTGCACTATGCTGTACATTTGTAAAGTTTTACAGAAGACACTAATTAAACATGTTTCCTTTTTCTCATTTAGTCCTGCTTTGGCATTTCTCTCACTCCTTTCATCTATCCCTTATTCCTTGTCTCCTTCCCAAGTCCTCAGTGAGTAGTGAAAATCGTTTCTAAGCAGTCAGATTCCCTTGTGAGGACCTGCTGGTGGGTTGTGGTCATCCACAGGGGCTGGGGAGACGTCCCATGGAAAATGTGGCAAAGTACATACAGTGTGGAAAGCTGCTGAATTCTTCAAACTAAAATGCCACTCAGGGCAGATATAGCTGGTAATATCAGGATCACAGTAAGAGTCTACAGGCACCAAAACACAGCATGGAAAAGGCAAAACCCAAAGTCCTCAAAATAGTCCTTATCCAGCTTTCTGTCAGAAAAGGAAGCAGTTACTTTTTTAGGATGGAGCTCGTACAGGTTGGTGGCAGCATTTGCAGCTTTCTGAAGAGCAGATTCCTGTGCCAGTGCTTTCAGATAACCCCGTGCTCCACAGGCCCTTGACTTACCCCGACCCTGTCCTGGAGGCCAAGGTTTTTTGCCAGCTTGTTTTAACCGCTGCAAGGTGGAAAATGGAAGAAATTTAAAGCAGTTGTGTTGTCCTCTCTGAGGGCTTTCAGTTGTTACTGTGTGGTCTGGTTCTCTTGCCACCAGATGGCACCTAAGCCCAGCTGATAGAAAGTACATCTTTTCAACAAGCCCAAAATAATATTTTATTTCTTTGAATTTGCACACCTACAAGAACTGTTCAATTCCATTTATTGCAAATTATTAGAGATGTATAGAAATACGAAAAAAGACATTCATCTAAACTTGGCTGTACTCTAAATCCAGATCCTGAGACACATCTCAATGAAAAACAATGAAAACAGCAGATATAAGTGTGTGTTTCATTACAGATGCCCTAAAAGGTAAAACCAGATTTTCTGTGCATGGATGCTATTTCTGCATCTTCTTAGGCATAAATAATCATAATGTCAAGGAATATTAGATCAGTAAAATTATCCTATCAAGAAGCAATTTCCATTTGCCATTGGAGTCCATCTGCTATGATGCACACTGGTATGGACTTAAAATATAAAACACCAAGTGAAAATAAATATGGTTACAAATAGAATTTTTATTTAGTCAAATGACAGACACACTGAATTATGCTTGAGACTAATTCATCTGTAATGAAACTGATATATAAACACGTAACTAAGGCATTTCTAGAAGGATGCAAAGGCACAAGTAACACAAGACTGGAATTTAAACTCGAAACAGCAGTTTTCAAAGTAGTGAACAGGCAGCTGCCCTGAGGAGCTGGAGCCAAGGGCAGTGAATTTTGATATCACAGTGTTATATCAGTTTTAACAAATGGTCCCATTGCTGGCCTCCAAATTTTTGCTATTCCCATATTTTGGGAATATTTCCATGCAGTCAGGCAAACACTGTGCTCAAGATTTGATCTGTTTTCTTCAAAGTGATTAATCCAATCCATTCTCACCATCCTTGTCACTCTGTGCTTTATGAGGACATCCTTCCCCCTCATCCAGGCCTTCTGCTTCTCCATCACTGCCATTCCCTGTTAAATGCACAAAGGCAAAGGGAAAATGAAAGTCACTTATGGTCTTTAATACTGGAAAAAGAAATAGAGCCAAATTTTTAAAAACCATTTAAATGAAACTCAGTAAGAAATCCTCTGTAGAAAAAGAAAACATTTAAATTCCTAATTTATTAGGATTTCCACATAAATAAAAGGAAGAGGTGTGCCTGGGCCACCCCTGTTATCTCTGTGATTAATAATGTCACTGTAATCTTACCATCCTCTTCCCAAGAGTTTGGGTCATCTGGTTGATGACAGACTGGTGACAACAGCAGATGATCCTTGGGCTCAGTGATTACCTCTTGTATCAAGGGTTTCAAAGGGGCTGCCTCTTTATCTTTGATCTCCAGGTATCTTTCTGAATTATCAGGCTCTGTAAAGAAGCTTTTGATGAGGGGTCTTAAGTGCTCCTTTTCATGCTCTTTATGGTTCTGACATACATTTGAAAAAATTGCTGTTGGAATTTCTTCTGCTGAATTCTCAAGCATGCTTTTATTGTTTTCCTCTAATGCAGAATCGCTGTCATTTGTCACTTCAGAAATGATTTCAATCTTTGGGTGATAGTCCTGCTGTAAAGGTAGACATGTAATTGAAAAATTATTCTTAGATATAAAAGCCAAAGGATAAGTAAATATCTCTTGGATCCATGTAACACTTGGCAGCTTTAATGCGCTGTTCTCATAAAATATGTGGAATGTATGCTTCACTCATAGCTCTGCTGCTTTGTGAATTAATTTAAGGTTAGCAATTTCTCAGGCATCACCAATGAACTGACCATAAACTAATTAACAGTTCATAAAAAGAGCAGTGTGTGGGCACTGTTCCAATATTTTACTCCAAACAGAGGAACCTGATCAATATCTTCATCTGTCTTCAGCTGAGAACTGAGCCTTTGGAGCAGGACAGCTGCTAACACATCCTGCTCCCCTAATCCTCTTTCTTTGCCTTCTTTTAATTGGAGGCTTTGTTGGCCAAGACATTTTGCAACCCTGTTATGAGTCTGTGATCAAAAGGACAAATCAATTCCATGCCTTATGCTGGCTGTAGGAACAGTTGGCATTATCTTGGAAAGACTTGTAAGAGCATGTACTGTACCAGCCTCTGTCTCCAGCAAGGCCAATATGATTCTGTGATCAGCATGAAAATCAAAACTGTGCTTTTAAACTTAGTTGTCTTCTTTTTTTCTCTTCTATTTCTTGTTATAGCCTTGTGTCTAAAAGATTAGTTTGAGCAAAGCAAAACTCTAAGATAGACAAGGACTGGCCTGCACTAGAGAGGAGAAGTTTCAATTTCTCTGTGATTTCAGTTGAAAAGTCAGATTTTATTCAGCAGCAGGCAATTTGCACCATATTAAAACTGGTGTAGTATATTTGAAGACTAATCTTCAGTATAACATTACATACTATTAAGAAATTAAACTTATGTAACTGTTGTATTACTGATCATAAGTTTTTATTCGATTTTTGCTACACAAAAATATAAAAAAGTTAGATTTAAACAAAGGAAGATTTACATGTAGATATGAAGGGCTGAAACCATCCATTTTAGTTTGTAAATGCAAGTGATTGCATCTCCCAAACTAGCATTTCACAACTTAGATTATCCTCATTTTGCATAACCTTTGCAAATGTGTTTAGGGAAGTTTCATTATTGGAATTAATGAAAATGTTACCTTCTGAACAAAGATTTCCTCTTCTGGGGAAAACTCACTTACAACTACATCTTCTAAATCAGGCAGATCCTGAAAACAATCACAGATCAATAATCAGTGGGAAGAGCTACTATAACCCATGAAAAATGACATCTCTGGCTCATTAGACAAATTCTTCAAAGCAGTGCTCATCAGGGTGTGAGGCCACAGCCAGCAGGACCCCACTGCCATCCTCTCACAGGCACAGTTTGCTGTTAAGCACATGTGGGAAAGGGAAAATTCATCTGTCTCCAGAAATAGCCCTAATGTCACACTGAATGCTGTTTTCTACTATGCTGTGTGATTATGAAGGCAAACAGGATTTTAAAAGCAAACATGGTTTATTCTCTTAGCTGTCTCCTGTCTATTCAATAGACTTAATCCCAACAGCAACCCATCCGTATGGGTGAGTGCCAAATCCAGACGCGCAGGCTTCCTGAAACTGCATATCAGGTAAACTCTGTTAACCTAAACACACCTAATAAACCAATGTTTTACTGTGAATGCCTCATAATTAAGACACAGAACTGCAAACTTGCTGAGAACTGTTTTTCCCCAGAAAGGTCAAATAATTTCAGCTTTTCACTAGAAAATATCAGACAATTATCATTTGCTGACATGAAAGGAAACACAGAAGGTGGGAATGCAAAATCACAGGTAGAAACTAATACCTTTTGCCACTTTTTTTTACTGTAGGTCAATACTAGAATAAGCACCTCCTTTTGTTTATAGATATTTTTACCACTTAATGACTTTGCAGCAGACTGCTTGGTGTGGTAGCATCGGGAACATCTGTACTGTCTTGTATGGTGAAGATTATTACACAATTAAAAACAAGAGTGGAAATGTCTCCTTCCTGATATGGTTGCAGCTATTGCAGCATTGTCCTGAAGTCACAGAGTTTTATAAAAATTGCATTAAAAATGTACAAATTAAGATCTGAGACTGATACGGAGTTTGATGTCAATAGGGAGATGACAGCTGTTAGTCTCGTTTCAGTCATCAGGGTGCATTTGCAGATCAACTGCAAGTTAACCCACTTGAGGTACATGGGAATGTTGTTCCCACGCTGCCAAGGCATGTGCAACAACAGGAGCTTGTTTCTGCTTGACACAGGGATGTCATAACCACTCATTGCAAATCCTCCTCCACTCTTCTCCCTTATATTCCTTCGGAGACCATCCAGAGACTCAGGATATGAATAAAGACAACGGTGCTGCTCCAGATCCTCTCACTATCAGCATCTTCCCAGCCATTCCCTGCTATGTCAGCACTAAGATTTTTTGGGATATCTGCAATAGGGTAAGTACTGGAGGCTGCTGGGAGAGGCTCTTTCTATTACTAAATGTTGCTAGAGAACAAGTAGCATAGACCACTGAAATTTTCATTAGTGTGTGATATGGGTTTGGTTTGCCTTCTGTAGAATTAAAATAGTCCCACTTTTTAAGCCTCTAAAAGCCCACAGATGTGTGCTTAAGAGTTATTTTTATACTGTCTTGAAGTTTGTGCACAGGATCTTCCTATGGTGCCATAGAGCATCAAGGGGAAAACAAACACTGAATCAAGGAGATCTTCACATTGTGGGCACCTATAGTGTCACTACATATTTACTTTAACTTTACTACAACCTTTACTTCAGACACTGAAAGATCTACTTTAAAGAATAATATTGTGCACACTTTAATTGCTGCTCATTTTCTCCACTACCTTTTTTGAACCTATGACTAAAAACAGCTCAACAGGAGGAAGCAGCAG